TTCATAACAAATTCTATCAAATGTTTTACTCCCTTGATTGTGAATCTTCGTTATAAAGCAGATGTATTTCACGACTCTGATATGCTAACTTTTGTGTGGCTCAAATTTTAGCAACATGCAACGCGAAAAAATCCCAGCATTTTATGTGTTTTATTCCAGATTTATGCTCCTGATACTGGTCATTGCGTCTACAGCCTTTCCGATCAAGATACACTTAACAGTCATCTCCCAGTCACTTGTCTTCGCTGGAAGTCGAGAGCAGATACAGATAGTTACGGAAATATTTTGCTAGCAACCTGTGAGTTTTCATTCTAACCAGGCTATAGTATGCTGCTCACTCTACAAGCGCGTAAAGTGTAGCGTGAGAAGTGCGATTTTTTTTTTCATGAATCTACATTGCAAGGAACAGTTTGTCATTTATGTTAATCCTTAAAATGATCGTGCACTGTTTACATTGACCATTTCAAAACAATAGTCGCAGTTTCGGACATTTGTTTTGTTCGCTAATGCAAGTAAAAATTACCCAATTTTCATTCTCATGCAAATTAGAATATCAATAAATTATACACAGCTGAACAAAAGTTATACATGTATAATTGTTTTCTTTTGAAATCAATCATAGACCTCTCAGCTGTGCTGAGAAAGCTCCTATCAGAATTGCTCCTCCATTAAAAAAAGAAACAAAAGTTTAAGCAGCCTTAAGGTGATGTTACATAGGACGATTCACAACGATTTTTAGCGGAACACAGCGTTGCAATGTTGGAACAATGTTGTAAGGATTCTATGAAAATGTTGCAACAATGTTGCAGTGCTGTGTTGGGCTAAAAATCATTGTGGCGAATCGTCTTGTGTAACATCACTTTTAGTTACTGTAACAATACTTAAGGGTCAACTGTTTTTTTTTTAATGAAACAAAACTGGTACATTGTGTCCAACCCTTCCAGAGTGCACTAACATGACTTTCTTTGCCTTTGCAGGACAGTCAGAATTCTTAATCTTTGCTCCTTAGAATAGCTTACCAGGCACCCTGAATTTCATATGTTTACTGCCTTTGGGCCCCCTACAGTTTTCCCTAGAGTCTGTAATAATGTACATTTGTATACCACAGGGTTGAGAGCTCTCAGGTAGTACCATAGAGGTTTTAGCTTTAAGTTGGCAGGATTTCAAAGGGGAACTGTGTGGGTTTGATCCTCATGTGGACCTTTATGGATTGTCCAACCACCATCCCGCCCTTGTCGGGATCGCCCCAGTTTTTCTTGAAAATCCCCCAGACCAATATGCAAGGATACAGTATTTGGATATAAAGTGAGCGTCTCATCTTGTCAACTTCATCATCATTCCATCAGCGTCATCATCATCATCACCAACATTATCATCGTCTTTTTCATCATCATCATCATCATCATTGTTAACAGTATCACTTACTGCGCTTTTCACAAACATGCGAACTCTAAAGTTCAAAAGCCGCCTTCACAATTGCATTTTTTGCTGCCGTCTGTTATAAAAATTACAATCACAAGCAATGAATCTTGAAACACAGAAACTCACAAAACAGATCAAAATCCACCAATCAGAAATCACAATCCATGACCTTTTGAACCCGTTAAAGTAAAGTTTTGTTTCCTAAGAGGTCCGTTAAGATGATTGACGGCAGTGAAAAACACAATGGTCAGTTGGCTTTTGAACTTGAAATTTGCATGTCTGTGAAAAGCGCAGTAAATAAAGTGAGGTCACATATATTTGGCATAGCCCCTCAATGGTTGTACAGTGTGGTATGTTCATCTGTGTTGTCTCTTTGCTATCTGTAGATGCTGATGGTAAAATCAAACTATGGCATATATCAACGAGTTCTTGTTTGAGAACAATGACAGAACCTTCCAAACAAATCCTAGCCTGTGCATTCAGTCCATCTGGAGACAGATTTGTTACTGCTGGGTCAGACACAAAGTTAAATGTGTATGATGAAAAAACCAATCAAATTATCCACACCCTTCAACCAAGGTACGGCATCAGTGTTTCTTTAAATATTTCAAAAGGTACCCTGTAAGCCATAAGAGTGATCAGCATCAAAGTTCTCCCTATGATATCAATGCTCTATGAAACAAATAGGTGACATGAATTAAGGAACATGATTACACAAGATGGATGTTGGTGATGCTTTTAACAACCTCTCCCTGCCATATAATAAATGTATAGATACAACAAATGAGAATATGAATTTTGATATAAATTTAGGGTTTAAAGGTTAATGAGCGAACTGTTTAGCTTTCTTATTATCTTTTTGCACAGTGAATGTGTTCAGTTTGTGGACAAAAATTTGATTACTTAAGGTTTTAAATAAGGTTTTAAGTAGGTGACAAAAGCTTTGGAGTAGGGGGAGAAGGAAAAAACTCGCTACACAGGTAAGATTTGCAAGCACCGGAAGTGCAAAATACTAGGGGGGTCCATCCAGGGGCATGCTCCCTGGTAAAATTTTGAAATCTGGGCCTCTAAGGGCACTTTCCAAAAGTCAGAACTGGCCGGCCGGACCATGGTCGGACCAGACATTTTGACAATGAAATTGGCTTTTTTCAAGAGGTTTTGCTGAAAAACCATCTCCTTTGAGCATAATATTTAGGATTTGACTGATCTGGATGGTTAGGTTTGATTAAAAGTTAAATTCTCATTACGATGGGAATGGGCTGGCCGGTCAGTTCTGACAAATGGAAAGCGCCCTTCGAGTGCATTTCCAGCATTCTGGAGCAAAAATTAGAATATTTGAACAAAACACAGTTATCAATAAAATTTTGCTTTTTGGGGAATAATTACCAAAGAAAAGTAGGTGGCGTGTTCATGGCGGAAATAGCCGACAAATTTCACCAGCCGCTGGCTCTTATTGAGAACTCTGATTACTTACTGCATACTACAATATTTAACAGCTCATCACACTTAGTGATGGATGGTCACATGAGCCGTGTATTCAGTGTGCAGTTCACCCCAGGACAGGATCATGAATTCCTATCAGGAGGCTGGGATGATACAGTTCAGGTTAGTAATGCTTCCTTGATGCCTGCTTTTAGGTACAGGGCTCGAAAGAAGTCCCATCCGGTCGTTCAGGACGAGCAGATTTTCTTCTGGGGCAACTAACTTTGGAATTCAAGTTTTTTTCGAGCTCTGAGGTAGTGCTCTGGAAAGCACAAAATATAAGAAACAAATATGAATGTTCACAGAAGAGTTTATATAGCTGCTATATTTGTATATAGTTATTGTCATAGTCAAGCTGCTTGGCAAACATTAGAATAATATCATTACCTTGGAAAACATAAAACAAACCAGCCACTGGAGAGTATCATTCAGTGGATAACTTCATTTGAGTACATGCATGTACATGTGGGTAGTCTCCAAGTGCATAATTGTTCTGCCCAACCTCTTCTACTGTAGTTTCCTGTGGTGCAGTCTGATGATTACTTAGTACCTGAAACTTTAAATATATGTCTTAGAATTATTGTCCATCTTGAATTTGTATGGTGAATCAACCTTAAGAAATGCCGCCTGTATACATTGATTAAGAGTATTTCATCTGGTTAGAAAAAATAACCAAGAGTTTAAATAATAATAAATTATAATGATCGTGATGAGGATGCCAGATGATGATAGTGATATTATTATAATATTGAGAATTTAAACAACTTTTTCTTTACTCTTTTTTAAGCATTGGAAATAAAAGTCTTCCATGTGTATAATCAGTATAGTAAATTTAGCCAAAATTGATTTTTATTGTAGGTTGTTCAGTTTAATTCTTGTGCTTTAAAATTTGTCTTACAGTTTTGGGACACAAGAGTTGATACCAAGCACAGTGTGAGGTACTTAGTATAAGATATAAAAATATGCTAACTACTTGTGTTTTGATGTTATTTGTTTTGTTTTGTTTTTGCCATTGTTAGTCATTTAACCTGTCTCAAGAGTAACCAATATCAATTTTCTCCTATCAAGAGAAATGGTTATGAGAATTGATCAAATGATCACCAAAAGGAAAATGCTTTGATCTTTTATCAAATTATCTCAACTTATTCCTAAAGGAAATGTATGGACATCAACCTGAAGAATTTAAGTGTAGTTATTGGGGATTAAAGGGTTTATTATACTTTTTTTCTTATAAGAAAGATCTTTGGACCTCACATCTGTGGAGATGCACTTGACATCCAGTCAGTAAGTGTGTCTGGTTCCAGTCAGCAAATCCTTACAGGTTCATGGAGAAAAGACAACACTCTTCAAATCTGGGACTATGGTTCGGGCAAGCTCATAAAGAACGTGCCATCTGATTACAATGGCAGTATGGTATGTTAATTAACAACTGGGTGCACATAATGTCTTCGCTTATTTTCTAGATTTACTGTTCATGGTTTCTTAAAAATCAATTGAAAATGGACCATTTATGTATAGCGGAATACCCCTTTAAGCAAAGGTGTTTTTGAGCGATGCATGTCAGATAGCTGTGAAGTCTTTTCCCTCTTTATATGCCTATGATCTTAGAACAGCTACTAAAAATTTGTATTTCTAAGTTTCTTTACTGTTATAGAAAAGATTTGCCTAAAAATGTGGACAAAACCACTGCCCAAGAATGCAAAAAGTCCACTTCCTGTTGATGTTTGTCACTTAAAATGTGTTTTCTTAAGCTTTCTAAGGTATTAAAGAGAGTGTTCATTCACCTTAACTATGTACAGAAAATGACCTAATCTGTGTGCTTTGAGAAGTGCTTCTTTTTTCTAATGATGTCTTCCTGTTTCTTTGTAGCTCTACTGTGCTCAGTGGCAAGGTCCAGATAACATTATTGCAGGTGGTAGCGACAACAACATGATGAGATGTGTTGATCAAAGCACACTTCAGGTAAGTGCTTTGGTTGGTTGTTCATAAGCAAAGTTTGTTTGCTTAAAGGAGGTGTGTCATGAAATTCAGCCAAATTAGGAAATTACAAGATGCCCATTAAATTAAGAGAAACATAAAAATAACCGCTTAAAACTTTAAAGGGAGGTTAAAATAACATAACAGAAACAACAGATGCCATGGATGGGCAAAACTGAAGAACATGGAACGGATTGAAATTAGGGTTTTTGAAAACTGTTCAGCCTAACAGTTTTTCAAAGTTGATCCCTGCTTCTTGCAACTTCAAAAATAATTCCCAGGAGACATATTTGTTTGTCTCGGATCTCTTTAAGTTCCATAGCGATCGAGGGCGAGTAAATGGCAAAATTAAACAAAATGAACTGGACTGCCGTGACACAGCTCCTTTAAGTCAGTTGTTAAAAGCTGGCAGTGCATATGTGCAACATTGTCATAATTTTTAATTTTTCTGGAGATCAAGGGAATTTGGATACTGGAATCTAACTTAGTGGGCCATTGTTCACATCATAATTATCATTGTGATTGTGTAATTGCTGTCATCATCATCATTGTCATCATTATTATTATCACTGCTGTCATTATTATCCTCCTCCAACTAATATATCCTTCAGTAGCTACTTTTGTTCATCAGGTTTGTGCCTAATTATAGGCTCAGAAATGAAACAGTTCACTTCAGTATCTATTTCTTTTGTAGACAACTGGACGCCTGGTTGATTTGCCACGTGCTGTGTATACTGTTGATTATGACAGGCATTCTCTCAACCCAGTCATAGCAGCCGGAACTTCCAACTTTGTTTATCTTGTGAAGAGGACTTGAGCTCACCACCTGACCTGTAGGATGTTTGCCAACCCACTTCTGCTACTTTAGGGAGGAGCCTTCATAGTCATCACACTAAAATCTTTACTATCTTATTTACTTCCCGGTTCCTCAACCCCCAGAAGTGTGCATGTCATTTAAAAGATTTGTGTTACAATGCACTGACCTTATTTTATTGTCTTCTTGGTCTTTTTAAATTGATGACCTGGGTGCTCTTTTAAGTTTAACTAAACTATGTCATCCACAGAAATGAATTGCTCGGGAGTCACCAGTCTTATTTTGCTGGATTAGCAAGGGCAAAAGTATGCTCCTTCAGGCCATCAGCAGTCCAATTACTGTGAGTGCACTTTGAGTATGATTACAGGGAAACCTGTATTAAGCAGATCCCATGTTACTTGAACACTTTTCATAGAGTGGAAACAAGCATTTTCGACTGTGTAATTAGCTGATTTGCACAGGGGAAATAATAATGTGGCACCCACAGATCCCTTGTAAACAGTTCAGATTTAGATAGAAGTGAGATGCATAAACACTGTATTGTGGGTGGATGTAGGTAATTATTTTGTCATTGACTATGAAATTGGGCTGTACATTTTTACATGTATGCTGTCCAGTGGTAATTGATTGTTTTGCATCTATGGAAAAAATGTCTTAAAAACAGAGTCTATTAAGCTACTGGCAATATTGCATAAATTATGATAAATAGAGGTACTTTACTGTTTTACTAAAATATTTAAACCATAACCTAGTTGGTTATTATTATTTGACTATTTTAATTAAAACCTCAGCTAAAATTTATGGGCTTAACTTGAGAATGGTATCATGGATATTTAATTTATTCTTGTTTGCTTTTGTCTCAAGAAAAAAGGGGATATCACCATTGAGAAGGAAAAAATTATGCAGATTTAACAATAACACCATGCATTACCACATTCATTTGATAGCAGTATATTGTATTTATGTTAATTTAGATGTTCATTGAATCTCTATACTCCCTGGTCAACAGCCAAAATAGTGTAAAAAAATTGAGTGCTAACTTATTTCTTTAGGGTTGTAGGTACTTTGAATATGATGTTAGAAAATATGTTTATGAAAAACTATTATTGTTAATTGTTAAAGATTTAAAAGAAACAAGATGTTTTAATAATTTGATAATACCATTTTACTCTGAATCTATTTGTCAGTGAGCTTTTTTTATTGGCAGGGCCATAGGACTTGTTTAGGTGACCTGATTTATTCAAAATTTAATAAAGTTCAGAAAGATTATTCATGAGGTGCTATCGCATGAGACTCTCGTAACTCCTGAGTTTGTATGTATTCTTAGTCCGAAATGTCATCCGTCTCCACCCACTAACCCCCCCCCCCCCCCGGGGGGACCGAAAGACTAACTTCCCCCCCCCCCCCCGGTTGGGGGGGGGGGGAAGGGTAAAATTTCTACCCCTCGTGGGGCCATGGCACCACAAACCCCCCCCTTTTACCTTACTCTGGGGTTTTTATTTATTCTTAGCCCGAATTCTCACCCCCCCCCCCCCCCCACCCCCCCCCCCCCCCGGGGGGTACAGATAGACTATCTTCCCGCACCCCTATGGGTTAGGGAGTGGAGAAAGGTGAAAATTGCTAGCCTTAGTGAGGCCATGCAACTCAATACTCCCCTCTTTGACATTTTGTAACAGGCCTACTAACATGATAAACCTTATTTTTTCTAGTCCTAAGAGAGGTTCTGCCGCCTAGCAAATAATGTTATTATAACTGCATTGTCAATACCAAAGGGAAAACTTGAATGCAACTGCAACCATGTAATGTTTTGAGTTTAAGGCTGGGTGAGTTGTAAGCAATCATGAGATCGCTTATGACCCATTGAAAATCAAAATATGGGGTCAAGTGGAATCATTAGCATGAAGAAATCAGAGTTGACTCCACTAATGACTCTGTCTCTTTGTCTAGTGAAAACCAGATAAGGTGAGCCAGGAGCAGAACAGGAAGAATAAACAAATTATAATTATGCCTGTTCCAGCTTTTTTTTATTTTCGTTGTGTTCTTCCGCCTCTGTTCACAACTTCAACAGCCTGTTGTAGTCTTCACTGTATTTTTTGTGATGGAGGTGAAAACGGAAAAGGAAAAGGAATGTTTATATTAAAAAAGTGCTCTTACCCTCCCCCCCCCCCCCCCCCCCCAATAAAAAAAGAACACCTGATCGCAAGTTATTCTGATCATGAGTCTGACTTATTGATAGGGAAAGACAGCCTTTAGGCAGACCCTTTGTTGAAAGCATTCTGGAGAACATAATACTAAAACAATACAAAATGATTAAAATAATATTTCTAATAAAAATCATTTATTATACATTATTTTCATTACCATCAACATAATCTCTGTTGAAAATTTAAACTTAAGAGTTACTTGAAGGCTATATCTTTGAAGTTTAGTATTTTGAACACAACTGATCCTGTTTGACTATAACACCCACATTGGCTGTATGGGTATGTAGTCACACTTGCGGGTGAGTTAGAGCCAAAACAGTTTGTTTGCTTTTCTTCAACAATAACAATACCCGTCTGTTACCAGACAGTCTAATGAGCATCAAGAGAAGTTCTAAGCTAATGCCCTCACCCCCACTCCCATTCCCTCCTCAGAAAGCAGTTCCCAAAGTAATGTTGTAGTCCTCTGTTAACTGAAAAATTTGTTTTACATCTTTAGTACTGTCAAAACAACATTTGATTCATGAACTTGAGGGTCGAGCGTCCAACACTCTAGTACATCCGGTATGAAAAACTAGCAAAATTTTGAACAATAAACCATCAAGCAATGGCCAGATGAGTAATTATAACAGCAGAAATCTAAACATAATAACCTCGCTAAAGAGGTTCACACCCAACATAATATTCACTGTTCATGTTGGAACCATTGTGCTTAAAGTTAAAAACAACCAAAGTTATGGGTTGTTTTAATTTCTCCACAGTTCTGTAAGTTCTGCCAGTGTGGAAAGGTTGTTTCCCCTGATTACTTTATGTTTAACTTCAACTAGGTTTATATCCCACACAGTTATAGTATAAAACACTTCCCTCTCATATCACAATGTATTATATGGTTATATACAGTTAATGGATAGCAGAATTGAAATTTCTCAAAGTACCAGGACCCCCAGGACTGTCAGTAAATTTATTACGACTGGTGATCATAACCTGTGTGAAGTGACAAGGGGTGATGATATTTCTTGACTACAAAGTGGTTAGGAGATACCCAGCTCCAAACATTAACAAGGCTATCATTAAGGGCCGGGATCCAGGGGTTTTTTCCCGGCTAGGAGGAATGTTGAGGAACATGTGATCCCTGGCTATTTTTTATTATTTTTATCTACACACTTGAATTACTAGTGACAGCCCTGGGGACCGCTGCTTCCAGAATTCTTTATAGCCTAGTGTGTTTCTTAGCAACAAGGTTAACATTAAGTTACAGTCCTCTCTCTCCAAAGTGAGTGGCACAGTATTGAGGCCCTTTTTGTGGGGGGAATACATATACCCCTAGGTCTGAATTTCAAATATGGCTGTTCCACATTTTGTGGAGTAGGCCATGTCCCCGTCTGTATTAAACTCATCTTTATGTCATTTGTCGACTTTTCATCTAGTCTTATGTCCCTGTTTCTCAAGTCCATGTCACTTGTCTGAATTTTACCCTAACAGCTGGGGCCTCACTATTGACCATCACCTAGGAGGTATTCTACCTGGCACCTTGAACAGAATATGCAATACTGGTAATTCTGATATTTTGTATTATTGTTTTTTGTCATCAATGTAGACTGTCTGCACCAAATTAACACTCCACTTTACCCGCTTTGAGTCTTGTGCTAAGTCATTTTGATGAACTGTTTTGGCTGATTCCTGCATGCGTCTCTGGTATCTTTCTTGTCGAGACTTTGATGCCTCATATTTTCGCCATCTTTCTAACTGGATGCTCCGCTTTTCTCTTCTTGCCTTTTTCTGAGCAGGGGTAGAGGGTGGGGGCATGTCATACAGTGGACTGTTGGGTGGGGAGAGTGAAAATTCATCTCTGTCCATCAAATTGTCATCATCATTATCACAAGAAATATCTGAATCAACATTATCATTGTCATTAATATCAAGAGTTCTGTTACTGTCATCACACACGTTCTGATCTCTTGTTCCATTGAAATCTTTTAAAGGAACAAACGCATGCTTTATAATTGTTCTGTCAGATTTTCGTTTTGGCCTGCGCATATGCCCCGATGATAAAGATGAGAAAAACTCGTCTGCTTTTCCTGTACAGCTAGAAGACTGTGAAATGTCTGAAGGGTATACTTCGTCAAGCGAGCCCTTAGAAATCTGTGTATGTTTGCTGGTTTGGAAACAAATCCCTGATGTTGGTGATTTTTTATCTTCACTTGGAACAGAACTATCAAAGTTCACTGTCTTTATCGCTGATCTAATTTTCCTGTGCTTTCCACCAGCTTTTCTCTTAATAATCGGATTAGCTCCTACAATCGGATCATCATCATTTCGAACTAAGATCCCAGCACTGCTACTTCCTTCTTGGACTTGAATATCGCGCAACTCGACTTGCAATCTTGGAACCTTTCCACAGGCTTTACGACCTGTGGCTGCAGTTTCTATCTCTTCTAGATGAAGATCGTTTAGGTACTCTCTAAGTCTCTCCACTTTAGATCTGTTTCTTGTAGATAGTCGGCGTTTTGCCACATTGAGTGCTCCCTGGTGCTTTCTGATCCCACGCGATCCAGAGGCTTTCAGCCATGTACCGGTACCTGAGCTCATTTCTCACCGATCTTCAGCCCACCTTGTTACCTTCAGGTTCTACTTCTGGGAAACAAAGATTACATCTTTGTAAAACGTCAATCTACCTTGAGATTTCATGAATTTAATATTGATACCCTCCCCAAACCGCCATTTTGTTTTCAAAACAAATGCAACAATTTCGCCGAGGTGGCCTGGAACAAAGTTCTTCTCGCGCAAAGGATTGTTGGAAGAAAGGGTGGAGGGTGGGTGGAGTTGGGGTGGAGTCGAGTCACGCCTTCCAAGAGTTTTGTGAACTGCTCTGATCGATGCTAAGGGGAGGGATCCGAAAACCGCAAAACCGCACAGAAATACGCCAAAAAACCGAAAACCGCATCGGATTTTTTCCTGAATACCGAAACCGCGCGTACATGTAGGCCACAATGTAAAAGCTGACGTCAGCAAGACTTGTGATATATTCTGATAACATTGTGCGTTAGTATTAAACATACCATCCTAACGCTAACGATATATTGTACTACACTATTATACTCTATTTACTACTACCCAAATGCCAAGTATGCTGGTCATGTACTTGAACGAGTATTGATATCTCCCTTGACTTTGAAAAACTCTGTCACTGATCCTGTCACGTCTTACATTGGGTGACTGATTACTTTGGACGATCCTGTGCTCGTTGTGGAACGCGGAATAAATGTTTCTTCTGGAATTGTGACCTTCTTGTCTCGTAAAGAGTTTACGTTCAGTGGAGAAGACGATTGTTAAAACGTACAGCTCTTCTGAAATTCTTCCCTTCCTTTCCTTCTTCATAGAAGATTGCCACGCAATTAATTACTACGTCCTCTTCGCTTTCAGTTGCGACCTCGACGACCTCAGTTGCCATTGTCGCGCATTGAATCAAAGCAACGAGAACACGAGGCTGTACGGCTGTACGAGCTAACATCCGGCATGGAATTTCACGAAGTCGACGCATCATTGGCCAAACCGGTTAATCACATTGGAAAAGGCCGTAATTATTTTGCAAACCACAGAGTTAAATTGTAAGCTGATATAATGAACCCTGATGCGTTGTAAAACAAAACACTTGGCTCGCGCTTACAAAACAACCGGATGCCGACCGTTCTAAAGAGTGTTATCACCGCAGACACTTTTTTTCACCGAAAACCGCGACTTACAGGTTGTAATAACCGCAAACCGCTTAGTGTTTTGAAACCGCAATACCGCGAGTTAAAATAAAAATTACCGCAAAACCGCACCAAAAATAACGCAAAACCGCATCACCGCAAACCCTTACGCCCCACTCTAAGGGAATACACACGTTCCCCGAGTGTATAAAAAATGATGTACTAAAGGAAACAATACAATGTGCAATGATCTGGCGGGGGGCGGGGTAGCCTGCTGCCACGCAGGCTAGGGGCGGGAGGGGAGGGGGGTGGAGTAGATTATCATACAATTACAAAGTGACGAAGATNTGAACTCAAGGCTGTATAATTACTGAGCAATTATTGCACGAGGCTGAGTATGATATGAAGAGTTATGCAGATCGAGGGGGTTATCCGCCAAAGCCGAAGGCTTGAGCCCGGTGGATAACACCCTCCGAGATCTGTATATCTTCATATCATACGAAAGCCGAGTTCAATAATTGTTTAATTATTCATTCAAAATATTTACACCGGCAAAACAAACCGGTAACTGAAAATAATTTAGTGAATGATATTAAAGTTACTGTACATCAAAAGACATCAAAAGACGGACTTCGCGCTGATCGAGCTAAAATCAGGACGCACAATAACAAGAGAAACAATAACTTCATGATCTTCAAAAAATCAAGGTTGAAACTAATAAACAATTTGTTTGAGAATCGCCTTAAAAACTAAACCCAGTTATTACTTTGGATCGAAATTGACCAATTACGAAACAACGAGTTTTCCTGAGAGGTCCGCAGGAAAAAGAAGCCATTTAAAAGACGTTTACCTCTGCTAGGTTAGAAAGGAAAAAATATTTTACAATTGTAACGACTAACGCTTCATTCTGTCTATTTATCTGCGCGTTTGTCTTTGCCAGTTACTCTGGTCACTTTCGAATTAACGATTTTTTGCTATTTTTCACTCCGTTACTTTTGTTAAATTATTTCTTGTTTAATTTATTTTTATTCTTGCAAAAAAGTGGGGGGGCTAAAGCCCCCCCAGCCCCTCCCTCTGCGCGGTCCCTGCAATTATTAGGCGGTCCATGCCCAGAGAGCTAAATATGCGATGGGCAGGCGATGCTCTTCCTCTGACTTTCCCTGTTGGACTTTTCCATTTCGTTTGAAATTTCTTTCGTTTGCTGCGCCAATGAGCTGAGTAGGCTAACAGCCGAGGGACTAATTTGAATTACCCATTTTTCAAAAATGTCGTCGCGATTTTTCCAACTAGCTTAAAGAGTCAAATGTAAAAGTGATTTTTCATTGAGTTGAAATCTTGGAGGGCGCACCCAAGTTTGAAAAGAAGAGAAAGAAAAATCGTCGTGATCTGTCTTTTTTCCCCCGTAAAGCTTTCCATCAAGGAATTTCGTTCTTTGTCCTGCAGAGTTAGCAAAGAAATGTACCAAAGAGTGTGATACATGTGCAGAGTTGTTGTTTGGTTTCTTTAACTTACTGCTTTTTTGACGTTCTCGTTGCCGTCGCGTCTCCATTGCTGAGTTAGCCGAGTATTGTAATCGGGAGGCTATGCTTGGAAAACAACTGAAAGCAGTTACCAGGAAATGCAATGCGGAGTAAGGGAGGGGAGGCGGAGGTGGACAAACACACACTGTTTCGCTAAAGATGCTAACGACTGGCAAAAACCATATGAAAAGAAAAGGAACACAATATAACATGCTAATTATTCCAATACAAGAAAACTCTTTTAATCATTGAATGTTCTACTAACTATTTACAAATAAAATATTTTTAATATTTCAAGACATTACAAGGGTCTCATTAGTCTGCTACACAGCCGTTTTTAGTGTCGTGACGACACTAAAAACGGCTGTGTAGCAGACTAGGGTCTCCTCAACTTCTCGCTCGCATTTTTAAAAGGCAGCTCTGACCGAAACTTTTAAATACTTTTCTTGATTTCCAGTCCCTTAACATTCCAAACAGCGCGCCACTCATCAGGGCCCAGATGTGTTCGCGAGGTTACCCAGCCAGCTTCTTCAAGGCCCTGAACGAATGCTGGGAAAGCATGAAGGGTGAAATTATGAGCCAGCGCTACCAAATCCCATGAGCAGTCAGTTGGTTGACTTCTTTCTGTAAGGAAAAAAGAAAAGATGAACATTATGCCACTTAAGGTGGCTCGTACCAGTTTTTTATCCTCTAAAACCACTCCTCAATTACCAACACAGAAATGAATCATGGTCATCAAATTAGGTCTCTTGCCTTAAGATTTTTGTTTTAAACAGGGTCAGGGGTTGAGGGCCTCGGCCGCACACCCTATAAGGGGGCTTATCAATGGCGGATCCTGGGAAGNGTTGTTGTTTGGTTTCTTTAACTTACTGCTTTTTTGACGTTCTCGTTGCCGTCGCGTCTCCATTGCTGAGTTAGCCGAGTATTGTAATCGGGAGGCTATGCTTGGAAAACAACTGAAAGCAGTTACCAGGAAATGCAATGCGGAGTAAGGGAGGGGAGGCGGAGGTGGACAAACACACACTGTTTCGCTAAAGATGCTAACGACTGGCAAAAACCATATGAAAAGAAAAGGAACACAATATAACATGCTAATTATTCCAATACAAGAAAACTCTTTTAATCATTGAATGTTCTACTAACTATTTACAAATAAAATATTTTTAATATTTCAAGACATTACAAGGGTCTCATTAGTCTGCTACACAGCCGTTTTTAGTGTCGTGACGACACTAAAAACGGCTGTGTAGCAGACTAGGGTCTCCTCAACTTCTCGCTCGCATTTTTAAAAGGCAGCTCTGACCGAAACTTTTAAATACTTTTCTTGATTTCCAGTCCCTTAACATTCCAAACAGCGCGCCACTCATCAGGGCCCAGATGTGTTCGCGAGGTTACCCAGCCAGCTTCTTCAAGGCCCTGAACGAATGCTGGGAAAGCATGAAGGGTGAAATTATGAGCCAGCGCTACCAAATCCCATGAGCAGTCAGTTGGTTGACTTCTTTCTGTAAGGAAAAAAGAAAAGATGAACATTATGCCACTTAAGGTGGCTCGTACCAGTTTTTTATCCTCTAAAACCACTCCTCAATTACCAACACAGAAATGAATCATGGTCATCAAATTAGGTCTCTTGCCTTAAGATTTTTGTTTTAAACAGGGTCAGGGGTTGAGGGCCTCGGCCGCACACCCTATAAGGGGGCTTATCAATGGCGGATCCTGGGAAGAGGGGCCCGACCAAACTGAGGCGCGAAGGGCCGAAAAAAAATTTTTTGGACCCCACCCTTATCAAGCGCGATAAATGTGTGACAGGAATAGTAGGATGTTGTTAAGCATGATAAAACTCCAAGCCATTTAACTAAGCATTTCGGGCGACTCGACTGAAAATTTTGGGTGGCATAACTCTGATTTCGGGCGACATAACTTCGGGCGAGATGACTTTCAACCAGGCCTTGCCTTTCAACAACCGGCTACCAAATCAAAGGCTGGCCAGCGTCTTTGGTTGTAGTTAAGACAGGGGTTCGACGGGTTGATCAAACAGACAAAATTTACCACTTAACACAAGCACTGCAAGTTTCAAACCTACTTCCGTTAACAAGAGAAGTTATAACATTACTGCTTGTACCATGGCGGCCCGGGGCCCCGGGCATGGCGGTAACGTTCTCTTTAACTGAAGCTGTCTCGGTGAAAGGTTAAATGGACTTGCTTTGCAGGTTTGCTAAACGTAATACAAAGACACGAATGAAAATCACACCGAAGGGTGGAGATTCCCACAAGTGCCTAAGGTTGGACCTCTTCTGTTCAAAATGTCTGAACCCGTCCCTATCTTCAGTTGTAAAGAGATGGATTTCTGATCTTACCTTGCCACCAAAAATTATGTAACGCTTCAAATGCTCTTTGACTGCCATCTGAGTCACTTAAAACCTACGAAAGGAAAAACAGGAACGCAATAATGTTTTACAAGTTACTAATCAGTTATGTACTTTTGTTGGTTTTATAAAACCAAGCTGTTAAGGCCAGCATGGTTTTGCTCTAGAGAAACACGCCTAGTAAGGTATAGACTTGAAAGCATCGAGCTGCGTTTTCATTCTCTCATTCACCAGAGGTTAAATGGACTTGCTTTGCGGGTTCGCTAAACGTCATACAAAGACACGAATGAAAATCACACCAAAGGAAGGTGTTTTCAAAAAAGCCATCCCAACTAGAGATTTTTCGTTTTTACCGGCGAGGAAAACAATAATCAGTAACAAACAAAGATTTTTTTTTTTCATCAGTACGTTCATGTCCAATCGGTTAGTCATTTTAAAGTAATTATTGATAGTGACCGTGAATCTCAATTTATTCCGTTCGATCTTAACACAAGTGTCCAAAAGTCAAAACAATTGAGTTGAAATATTGTATCTTGCGTTTGATAGCCTACGTAGGTAAAGGCAAAAAGAGGGGAGGACGTAAAATGCTCATTTTCTTCCTTATTTCGCCGCTCTCTCCGTCCCCTATATGCCTATCCTGTAGTTCTATTAATGTTTAGTGTAAAATCGTCGATGTTCATCCGTTTTAATGTAAATCAGTTTTTTTAAATCTCACTAAGTCATAGCTTGAGAAATCAGACGACAATTCACGACGCCAAAACTGGTTTCCCACGAAAATGACGTCTGAGAAACGAGCGCAGAAATTCCATACTGATGACGTGTCACTAAACAGATCTGGGTATAAAGTGCTTCTGATTGGTCGTGCCGCTCGCTGGGTAGTGACGCGTCATCAGTATTGAATTTCTGCGCTCGTTCAACAGAGCGGAGAAACCATTGGTGGTGTCGGAAATAACGGCTGTTTTCTCAGGCTAACTAAGTCATGGATACCAGTGACTGGACACTGTCCATTAACGTTCCATTAGCTCGTCAATTAACGTAATTACCTTTCTCAAGCTCGGTTGGGTGCGTATCACAAAATCTAATACACAAGCCTGGAAGCAACTCTGTAGGTGATCTATCGCAGTAGAATCTTCATGTAGCACTATGTGAATTAGACCTATGTTAACAGGACAGAAATATTAATATTAATACATCATCAAGACAAAAGGTAGCCTGTGTATAGACCCCACTCCTCTCCCCTTCTCTGATTTTTCGTGAGGGAAAGGGGGGGGAGGGTCTGTACACAGGCTAGAGAAAAGGTTATGAGAATAAGTAAGTCGATCACCAAACTAATTGTATGGAGATCAGTCAGGAAAATTTGTATGTAGATATTAGGGTTTAATGGGTTAAGTTTAAGTTAAGGGAGGGGCAAGCTTGGGGAGGGGGACGGGAGTGAGGGTGGCTCACCCACCCAAACCACCTGCCCTGGATCCACCCCTGATAAAAGCATTATAATCTATTCTGTTATGTCATTAAACTCCTCAAAGTGAATTTCAGTGCAGGATCCTCTGTCATAAAAAATATTGAGTGTACGAATACCGACAATATGTTAATCCAATAATGTGAAGTGCAGATCATTAAAATTGTGGAATGACATGCGATGCTTAGGTTGAGTAGAGTGCAGTCAAATAGCCATAAATTACAAATCAAAGGAACAGTCTGTAGTGTCCATATTGATGAATTGTTGTCTCTTTGGGAACAAGTGAACTTTTTGTAATAGAGAGATGCTTGTAAGTTGGTCAGTCAGTCAGTAAGACAGTCTGTAAGCCATTCAGTCAATAAGGAGGGATTCAACTTTACTGCAAACTACATCAGCATTTAATTCTTATCTAGCTTATTATCAAAATTGAAACTTCAATGGTTAAGCAAATATTGTACTGATATTTAAAAGGAAATATCTACCATGATTTAAAGAAGAATTTAACATGACATCATTGCATACCTGAATTCCGTCCATGTTGTAATGTAAGTTTAATAATATATCTACTTTCCTTTGAACTAGGCAATGCTGCATCAAAATCGCTAACACTGAAATAGAATTGTGAAAGGTTTGAACCCAGGAGTCATTTCATAAGTAGGTTGAGTATGATCATCCGCGTGAACGTAGTCGTGANGACACTGTCCATTAACGTTCCATTAGCTCGTCAATTAACGTAATTACCTTTCTCAAGCTCGGTTGGGTGCGTATCACAAAATCTAATACACAAGCCTGGAAGCAACTCTGTAGGTGATCTATCGCAGTAGAATCTTCATGTAGCACTATGTGAATTAGACCTATGTTAACAGGACAGAAATATTAATATTAATACATCATCAAGACAAAAGGTAGCCTGTGTATAGACCCCACTCCTCTCCCCTTCTCTGATTTTTCGTGAGGGAAAGGGGGGGGAGGGTCTGTACACAGGCTAGAGAAAAGGTTATGAGAATAAGTAAGTCGATCACCAAACTAATTGTATGGAGATCAGTCAGGAAAATTTGTATGTAGATATTAGGGTTTAATGGGTTAAGTTTAAGTTAAGGGAGGGGCAAGCTTGGGGAGGGGGACGGGAGTGAGGGTGGCTCACCCACCCAAACCACCTGCCCTGGATCCACCCCTGATAAAAGCATTATAATCTATTCTGTTATGTCATTAAACTCCTCAAAGTGAATTTCAGTGCAGGATCCTCTGTCATAAAAAATATTGAGTGTACGAATACCGACAATATGTTAATCCAATAATGTGAAGTGCAGATCATTAAAATTGTGGAATGACATGCGATGCTTAGGTTGAGTAGAGTGCAGTCAAATAGCCATAAATTACAAATCAAAGGAACAGTCTGTAGTGTCCATATTGATGAATTGTTGTCTCTTTGGGAACAAGTGAACTTTTTGTAATAGAGAGATGCTTGTAAGTTGGTCAGTCAGTCAGTAAGACAGTCTGTAAGCCATTCAGTCAATAAGGAGGGATTCAACTTTACTGCAAACTACATCAGCATTTAATTCTTATCTAGCTTATTATCAAAATTGAAACTTCAATGGTTAAGCAAATATTGTACTGATATTTAAAAGGAAATATCTACCATGATTTAAAGAAGAATTTAACATGACATCATTGCATACCTGAATTCCGTCCATGTTGTAATGTAAGTTTAATAATATATCTACTTTCCTTTGAACTAGGCAATGCTGCATCAAAATCGCTAACACTGAAATAGAATTGTGAAAGGTTTGAACCCAGGAGTCATTTCATAAGTAGGTTGAGTATGATCATCCGCGTGAACGTAGTCGTGAATAGGACTGTTGTTGACAGTAACTGACATTTCGACAACCTGTGCGGTAGTCATCTTCAGAGTCAAAGTGAGTTGTATCATGTAAGTTGATGGTATTAAACTCTGGTTATTGATCTGATTGGTCATTTAGTCGCGATGTTATTGGTTGTCTGTCAATTAAGCCGTGATGTTATTAAATAGAATGTCAAGGACGTCAATGATACGACAGTAATTTAAAATTTCAATAGACTTGACTTTTCGGATATTAAGTTACTCCATTCCGTGGTCCATGACAAGGCCATGCTGTTCCATTAAATACATACTCAAGAGTTTTGTTATAAAACAATCGGTATTTTCTGGGTATACAAGTGTCAGAAAAAAGGTGTGGTATGTCCAAGTACTGCTATGATTCTCACGCTGGGGGTTTAACATGATTTTTTTTCATTAAGTAGTTTCAGAAAATTTCCATACCCTCTTGCAGAGGGGGGTTGGAATTTCCTCGGGGAGGAGGGGTTAGAGAGGAGCTTAAATTAACCAAAAGCTCCTCAGGCCTTTATTTCTTCCAGATATGTACGGTGCCAAAACTAGTGCCTCTAGACTTAAAATTTTCTACAATACCAAGCATTTTCCTTCATTCATTGCATTTGTGAGTGCTTTGACTGTCCTATAAATTTGATAACTTATTCTAGCTACTAAATCAAATACTTTGTATTAATTTTGTTTTGTATGACATAAGAATATTATTGAAAGTCTACATTGTAAAAGCTGATAACAAAAAACCTTTACCTTTTTACTACTGAAGTAAACTCTGTTCCTAAATGAATTCTAAGACACTCTCCTGTATTAAATCCTACAAAAGTGAAGGAATCTACAATTATGTCTTTGAAATTGCACCACACTAGAAGTGATGGTGTCAAGTTTGACTGATAAAGATGAAGTTCTCAGTAAGCCCTTTATCTAGTCTGATTTTCAGACAGTGGCAAGTTGCATGCTTAAACTCTTTAGCAAGTCACTTCAGACTTGCAAAGAAAGTGATTAGTACGCAATAGCCCACGGCTGGTGGATTTTGCTATCCAGCTTAGTGAAATCTGCTTTTAACTTGCTCAACATCCAAATGAAGTTTTTGGGGAAATCCAGAAGAATGGTACTCAATACTGCTCATCAAAGATTTTTTGGGGGCTAGGTGAAATGACTTTTGGGATAGTAAATGCTAGCTTTAGCTTGCCTGAATGGCAAGCTGTAAAACTGACTTTCTTTGCTCCCTGCTTCAGACTGTCTGAAAGTTAAAGTGGCTAAAACTGTTTCGTGTTAGCTACAAAATAGACACCTTACCAAATATGACTGGTTCTCTGCTGCCCACTTCCTCTGGAGTAATAATGCGGCCTGTTGACAAAAACTCAGTGACAAGTAAGTGAAGACGAGGTAAGCTGACTGTTTCCATGATGACAGATGACACAGCACGGAAGTTTGCATATAGATGGAAGAAGGTGAAGATGAAAAATAATGACCATGTTAGGCTGTGAAGAAAAAATTAAAATAGCATAATCATGAAATCAAAGTTAAAAAAGGCAACAACAAGTTCATATGGTTTAGTTAAGAAGGATAGCATACATAGCTCGGAACAAACATTTAGTTGGAATACTAGCCTGCCGGGTTTTTTTTTATGTTTGCAACACAGGCTATTGGAATACAAAACAGGTGCCAAAAATGCGGTCGAAGACATTTATTTTGTAAAACTGCTTTTCTGTAGATTGATGTATATTAAGCATGGAAATGAAAATATTTTTGAGTGGTAAAAGTGTCACAAAATTGTGACAAAACAAATAATAGAAAACTATGTGATCTCAAGGAAATTATATGATTATGATAACTAATATTGAGAATGCGCCATGCTTTCACTTGCTGTCACACATTGAGTTCCATAAAAATGTTTCATATAATTCATGTCAATAAAGAAGCTTATTAAGTTTGTAACGAGTACTTACTGAGGATTTCCAGAAACCAGGGGTGTTATTACCAGACCAGCAATAAGAGCCATCAAGTTTACCAAAGTTTCCTTTGAAAAAAAAAGTATAAAATGTTCTGCTTGTTCCTTTGACTAGAAAAATCAGCCTATCTTGCAATAAGTCATGGATGTCACTGAAGATTCAGCAATTTACAATATTCCTTTTAAATACAGAGTTTTTCCCTAGCCCATTGCATTCTTAACAGCAAACATCACTTCAGTCCCATTAAAAAATGCCTGGGGGTGGCAATGTACAATAATGATTCTAGGGTGGGGGTGGGGGTACCCTACAAAGTTATAGAAAAAGGCTCCGCCCCAAGGTCCAACCCCTTACCCTGTTATACACCAGGTTGGAAGAAAAGGCACCCTGTTTCATATACCTTCTTGAGACAAATGGTACCCCTTTCACATACCTAGTTTATAACACTGCATCCCTATTAACTGCTGTACTAAACCATGTTTTTTTTCTTGACCTTTCACAGCAACAAAATGCATCTGCTTTTAGCCCTTTTAGATTCTTTTACAGACTGATTAAAATGACAGATTTCCCTAACCTCTTACATACTTCAACTGGTGAAATTCCTACCCTAAGTTTCAAAAAGGGTACCCCTTTTAGGCGGAGCCTCCCCATATAGGCCATAATAGGGAGTACCCACCCCCACCCCAATGGGTAATGAATATGAAACAGAGGAAGAAAAATAATTTATTTTATTGTTTTAATGTACTTATTTAAAGCAAGGATAAAATAAAACCAAAGCATAGCCATCATGCACCTTTAGTCACATCAAAACATAACACATCTCACCTGACTTCCATCTTTTGCAGCCACATCAGCCATATTGTCCCTCCTGGCCTGGTGCTGTGTCATGGCAGCTCTTGTGGCTCCTCCCGCCACACCCACTATGGACTGGTAAGCCCACAAAGAGAAAAAGAGCAACATCACTTTACTGCATCAATGAGTTCTTTATTTTAAAAGTGGAGAGGGGGATTTGGTGTATGAAAACTGTTTTCCTCTACTTTGGAACTGATCATTCAAAAGTTCATTGCCCCAAGATCAGGAAACTAGTACTGTATTTTGGCCAACTGCTGCTTCTAAGGGAAGGTACTATTGAAAAAAAAAAAAAACTTTCTAGGAGGTTCAAATACACTAGAATTCACTTGGGTCATGTTTGTGACTGAAAGAGGGCAAGGAAGTTGGCAGGCATGGAGATGATAAAGGGTAATGTTAAGCCTGCATTCAAGGCAGGGGGCCCATTATGCTGGAGCTGATCCCATTTCCATGCCATGAGGCGACTAGGGATATTTTCACTCCTCCCTGGATAGGATGTTAGTCAAGACCACTGCAAGGATACCCTAGCATTTAATTTGCTGGTACCCATTTATACACCTGGGTGGAGTAAGGCTCTGTGAGAGTAGAGTGTCTCGCCCAAGAACACAACACAATGACCCCGACTAAAGCCTCCATCGCAGATGTTCTTGGGGGTTCATAAGGTAGGAACACATGACGAACCCCCCAGAATGTCTGGTGGGAGGCAACCTCGACTAGGGCTCAAACCTGGATCCCTTGATTAGAAGTGTAGCACATTAACCATAACAGGTGACCACACCTTCCACTGGTCAGGGAGAATAATGCTGGTCTTTTTTTAATTCCCTCTCCCACCCTTGCCTCACTTCACTCATCCAGACCCATAGCTACCTAAATGATTACGCTCTGTTGTCTCTCCACAATATCCCAATAAAATATAATAGTAATACATATATTCTCTGCTTTTAAAATCCAACAAGGCAACTATAAAATACACAGAAAATACTGAGTCCTTGCTTGCCCAGTTGAAACGCATGCTTGTACTACATTCTAACACTTTTTCCCATAAACTAAAACCTTCTTTCTTCCAGATCTTATCCAAGAATGAGCTACCTTGATGAAAATAAGCAAGCAAAAAATATGAGATTTTTTTATCAGGGTTAGATATTCCCACTAACATTTTGAAATATACCTTTGATATACTAGACAGGCATGCCAAAATGGTGAAGTAAGCTTTGAACAATGGTGCTAACATCTCAACAAGTATAGATGTATCATTCAAAATATCAGCAAACAA